TCTATTATACATAATAAGTCTGTAAAAAAAACTAAGCTACGTACAGAAAAAATCATAGAAGTACCAATGGGTTGCATTCCCATACTTCTTTGTTGCTTCTTTTTAGTGCTAAAAAGAGAAACTGCCACAGCCAGTGACATCATAAACACAACTCAGTTCATCAAAGACGGTCATGCCATAGTTTCAGCAGATGGAACCTATGAATTAGGATTTTTCAGCCCTGGAAAATCCAAAAGCAGATACTTGGGCATATGGTATGGAAAAATACCAGTTCAAACTATAGTTTGGGTTGCAAACAGAGAAACTCCCCTTAACGATTCATCGGGCGTTTTAAGGCTCACAAACGAAGGAATTCTTATCCTTCTTGATGGCAGTGGGAGCGTGATTTGGTCTTCCAACACACTAAGACCGGCGAGGAATCCAGCCGCTCAGCTTTTGGGCTCAGGAAACCTTGTTGTGAAAGAGGAGGGTGATCACAATATAGAAAATTCCTTGTGGCAGAGTTTTGAACATCCAACTGATACAATATTGCCAGGCATGAAGCTAGGAAGGAACAGAATAACGGGCATGGATTGGTCCATGACATCATGGAAGTCACCTGATGATCCTTCCAAAGGAAATTTTACTTGTAAACTTGCTCCTTATGGATATTCTGAGATAGTTGTGATGGAAGGTTCTAAAGTGAAGTACCGATCTGGACTATGGGATGGTCTGCGGTTCAGTGGTGTACCTAACATAAGACAAAATCCCATATACAAATCTGAATTTGTTTTCAACGAGAAGGAGATGTTTTACAGAGAAAGTCTTGTTGATAAGTCGATGCATTGGAGGTTCATGACAAGTCAGAATGGGGATATCCCGAGCTTCTTATGGATTCAGCAAAGACAAAGTTGGTTGCTTTATGAAACAGCAAATACAGATAATTGTGATCGATATGCACTATGTGGTGCAAATGCTTTCTGTAACATTGCAAGCTCTCCAGTATGTGATTGCTTGAATGGATTTGGACCAAAAGTTCCAACAGACTGGGCCGTGACAGAATGGTCGAATGGTTGTGTTAGAAGGACTCCACTGAATTGTTCGACAGATGGATTCCGAAAGCTCTCCGGAATGAAGATGCCTGAGACTAAATCATCATGGTTTAACACGAGTATGAATCTTGAGGAGTGCAAGAACATGTGCTTCGACAACTGCGGCTGCACAGCATATTCAAATTTGGACATCAGGAACGGAGGAAGTGGGTGCTTGCTCTGGTTCGGCGACCTGATTGACATTAGAGTTTTTCCCGAAAATCAGCAAGATATTTATATACGGATGGCAGAATCAGAACTAGGTATGAATTTATCATCGGACAAGAAATGTCAGTATCTATAAATTACTTTCTAGCAACCTGGGGTTATGTCATTCTTTAAATAGTAACTGCCTTACTCATCAGAAAAATAGCACATTGAGGTCTACCAAGTTTCTAATATTAAGTTACTTCAGCAAAACCTAAAATGAAAAATCAAATGCATGAGATATAGAAGAGAGTGCAGCTATCTTTTTCATTATTGTATGTTTCTCAAAATCTTCATTTTTAATGGTCTTGCAAACTGTGTTTCCTTGTACATATATAGCACAGAATCCAGACATGGCATGCTAAATAGAAGTCATTCCCAACAAGGACAAATCCTAGGATAAGAAATAAAAACTTTGATTGGAGGAAGGGTGCTAGTAGAAATAAAAACTTTCTAGCCATTCTAAATTCTATGTCATTTGGCTTTCCTATTGTTGTCTTTTTAACTTCAGTTTTTCTCTGCCAAGATGTAGATGATGAAGATGGCGCCAAGATAAATAAAAAATCCAAAGCTAAGAAAAGGATGATAATAACCACTGTGTTGTCCACTGGGATTCTGTTCCTTTGCCTAGCATTGGTCTTCTATGTTTGGATGAAGAAGCAGCAGAAAAACGGTACGTAATTCACACCAGCAACATTTAACAAGTACTCGATCTCTAGATTTTCAAATAAGAAGTTTCGTGCCAGGAGCTAGAACAGCTTCTTCTCCTTTTTAAATTTTGATTTTTAAAAAATATAAGGCATCATTAAAAAATTAAAATTTTATTCCCAGTTCCATGCTTCTTTCTTATTCATGCCAGTTCTGCCTGCATGAAAAATGGCAGATGCTCTGGAAAGAAGTTCAAAGCACAAGAAGGAAGATCTGGAGCTACCATTGTTTGATTTGAGTACTTTGGCTTGTGCAACAAATAATTTTTCTGCCGACAATAAACTTGGAGAAGGGGGTTTCGGACTTGTTTATAAGGTATCAAAATTTCACGATACAAACTCATGATACCACTGATTTATTTTGGTATATATTGTTTTCTTTGGAGCTTCCATGGGACTTGTTAGGAAATGAGTCAAGCAAGAAGATAAAATAGAAAGACAATGAACAATCACACGACACAAAATCTACGTATTTCGGCAATTGTGCTTACAAACTATGAGGCCGTAATGGTAACTCTGCTTAGCGCACTAAACTGTTTAGAAAGTGCGAGCCACATCCGCAACAATCTCAAAAACTTAACAGGACCAAGCCTTTTAGGCATAAAACAATGACTGTTCACAAGACAGCATGATTGCTTATGATATTGAGTGATTATCTGCAGGGAACTTTAGCCGATGGACGAGAAATAGCTGTGAAGAGGCTCTCTAAGAATTCGAGACAAGGACTTGACGAGTTCAAAAATGAAGCCAATTATATTGTGAAACTTCAGCACCGGAATCTAGTGAAGCTTCTTGGATGCTGCACTGAAGGAGATGAAAAGATGCTGATCTACGAGTTTTTGCCTAACAAAAGTTTGGACTTCTATATTTTCGGTATGATTCTCTCAAAAAACCATACAAATTCTTTCCAATTTTTGCACTTTAGGTCTGTCGTTGTCCACGCACCAAAACCAACTCTTAGTAAACAATGCCATGAACTGTGGCTTAAGAAAAAAGGATCAATCGGGGATACAAGTTACAGGGAGAAGGGGAAACCATAAGCACCCGGCAATCAGCCGCTGTGCTTCCTTCAAAACACTTGGGAGAAAGGCTTGGAGAGAAAAGTACTTTTCTCTGCTTTCGTGGTCGCATATGCTGTCATAAAATTTGTAATTTTAGTTGAAAATTTATTTAGTATGGAGTTTTTTCTCCTAAGCTTTCCATGAATCTGATAAGAGCTAGAATGATTTGACTTGGGAAAATATTTTGATAGAAAAAATACAGAGCTTTCTACTAGATTGGCCCAAGCGTTACAACATTATCAATGGGATTGCTCGTGGACTCCTTTATCTTCACCAAGATTCAAGACTAAGAGTAATTCATAGAGATCTGAAAGCCAGCAATATTTTATTGGATAATGAAATGAACCCAAAAATTTCAGATTTTGGCCTGGCTAGAAGTTTTGGAGGAAATGAAACTGAAGCCAATACTAATAAAGTGGCTGGAACATAGTAAGTGTCTCCTCCAGCATATGATGTTGTCTTTATTTTTTCACGAACACAACTTACTATTCCATGGATAAATGCAGTGGCTACATATCCCCAGAGTATGCAAATCATGGACTCTACTCACTAAAATCGGATGTCTTCAGCTTCGGAGTATTGGTGCTAGAGATAGTGAATGGAAACAAGAACAGAGGATTCAGTCATCCAGACCACCACTTCAACCTCCTTGGGCATGTAAGTTTCAAAACTATTTTACTTAATCTCATCTTTTCACTTTACTCTTGAGAACCTATATGTTAGGTTCCAATTGCTTGGCATGTTTTCTTACTTTGGACACTTCAATTGCTTGAAGTATTTGTAGAAATTTGGAAACTGACAACGATATGCACGACCAAAAAACTAGTGAAAGAAAATTATCATAACCAAGCTACAAGGTCACAGGTTCTATGCAGACTGCTTTTGGCTAATGAATCAGCCACTGCATTCCCTTCCCGAAAAATATAATTGAAAGAAACAGAGCCCAAAATCTTCATCAGAACATCAATGGAGTAAAAAAGCTATTGAAAACGTTAAGGCCTAGTCGAATCTGTTCAAGCTACAAGGTCATTGGTTCTAAATGTCAACTCTATTCTAACTGCATGGTTTTTTTTATCAGGCTTGGAGATTGTTCAATGAAAATAGGCCTTTGGAGCTGGTTACAGAATCAATAGCTATAACATGCAATTTATCTGAAGTGCTACGTTCGATTCACGTGGGTTTATTGTGTGTGCAAGAAAATCCAGAAGATCGACCAAACATGTCAAATGTAGTTCTGATGTTAAGTGATGATGATGCTCTGCCTCAGCCTAAACAACCAGGTTTTTTCAATGAAAGGGATTTGATTGAAGCAACTTATTCATCCAGCCTGAGAAAACCATGTTCAGTTAATGAATGCTCGATTTCAGAGGTAGAGCCAAGATAGATTGCTCGAGCAAACCATGGCTGTTTCGAATCTATTCTAAATACTAATGTTGTCTCTAAGTCTACTCTACTTCATGTATTTTGATTAACTACAGCTATGCATGTGCGTATGGTATGTACGGCAGTGTCTCATGGTAGATCTTTCAAACATTTTGAAGGAAAAAACTTTTATATCTCTTTGCTGGATTAATTTGGCTCTTTTTTCCCAAAGATAGGATCTTTTTCTAAATTAATAACATTTTGAGCCCTCCAAATGATCTTGAACTCAGCTAATAAGAACAACAGAGTTATCATAAGACTACAATCAATAAAGGCCTTTTCTTGCTACAATAAGAGAGCTACGTTGCTGTAATGAGGGGAGGTGAGATTGCGAGGAAAAGTTGCAATTTTCAAACTCTTCTAACTATTCTATCACTTTCCCCGGAATCTGGTAACAAGACCAATCAGGGTCATTGAAAATTGCATCATTCATAACCTTTTATAGTCTCCAGCTGCCTAGCGTATTAAACAGGGAAGAAGGAGCAAATCTGTAGTGTGCTCTGCTGTTGTCTAATGATCACTGTGAGATTTGTTCACCATTCAGGGAAGGTGTTGCCGTTCAACAAATCAGAACGAAGAGCCCTCCATAAGGAAGATCTCGCCTTAGGAGGCACTTGTAAGGATCAGACTTGCTTCCATATATGATCAAAAGATTGAATAGTAGAATTAATAAGCATACATGGAGAGAAAATTGCGAGCTGGCTGTCAACATGTTAACCTGTTTTGACTGAGTACATTATAAATTAGTCCCTTTTGTTCCAAGAAACAAATTAATTAATCTATCTCGTTTGAAAAACTGATCTTTTAGTTTTGTACATTTTAATTTTCATCAATAACTCAGTATTTTTATCAATTTTTTGTTAGATCAGTGTTTTTTTTTTTTACCAAATTATCTTTATTTTGATATTCTATTCCTTTTCTTCACATGCTTTCTTCCTCTCTCATCAACCAAAGAAAAAAAATTAGAACAAAAATCACTTATTTAATGAAATAACTAGGTAATAAAGAGAACTAATTAATTCATTTCTCTAAACAAGAGAAACTAATTTATAATTTCTCTGAACTAATTAATTTTCAGTATAGTAGCTAAATTAACCTTATTCTTATGTTATTTCTTTGTTTTTATAAATTAACATAATATTTAATTATTATCATTATTATAAATTTGAGTGAATGATTCGACTCAAATATATGTAATCCTTCTTATTGTTGCTCTTTTTTGGTAATTCAAGAATTAAAAGTTATAAACTATTTAAATTCAAGATTGGAACTTAAACTTTTCGTGTGTATATATCAATTTCTTAACTATTTGTGCTAACATTTTGATCTTAAACACATATAATTATATTCCATATATATATATATATATATAAGAAGAAGAAGAAGAAGAAAACCTTAAAATTTCAAATACCAATGAGGTTATTAGGTTTTGTTAGATATTTTAATTGCAAAGGACCACTTAAAACATTTTGAAACTTTTGAAGCTGACATTAAATAACCTTAAACTATAAGACCCAAAATGAAACATTGCACAATCAATGGATATTGACAGTAACCAAAAATAAAATATGGTTTCAAGTTTCGATTTTAAATAAAAACCCAAACCGAAAAAAAAAATTATAAAAAAAAAACACCGACATAATTTTTTAGTTCCGTTAAAATGAAAAAATCGAATTATTATATATATATATAACCTCTAAAATCCAGACGCATACAGACAGCCACGCCGCCCTCCACCCCCGTCTAAGCCGGCAACTGTTCCTCCTCCCTCCTTCAGCAGCCCTTCCTCGCTCCTGACTCTCTTGCACATAGTTTCAGACAAGCCGTCCTCCAACTCCAACCACCAGCTCACTCTCCGTCAGTTTCTCTCCTCCTCTCGCGTCTCCCTTTCTTAAGGTGAAAATTGAAAATTTGAAAATTCTTCGTTGGAATTTAATAGATTTTGTTGTGGGTACTGGTAATAACTTGGTACCGTCCTTATTGATTGCTAAATCCCATTAATAACTTGGTAATAACATAGTTGCAGAATTCTTTGTTTGTGAATCAGATTCGTTGTTCGGATTTACGCATCATCAACATCATGGCAACCGCATCAGGTATGTATTTTAGTTAAATCTCTTATTTGATTTTGATTGGGATGCTGTTTTCTTAACATTAGCTTTGGGAAATTGATATTTAGTTATCTTATTATGATTCTGATTGATGGACGAATGGATGCATATTTATAATTTTAGCTATTATTATTTGGATTTTTATGTTGATTGATGTCGAAATAGGGGTGTAACATTATTTTAGAAAAAAATAACATAAAAATGGTAGAAATTGCAGCATGCTTGAAATTTATCTCTTTTTCTTATTGTTGGGTGGGTCTTGCAGTTGCATTTAAGTCTAGAGAGGATCATAGGAAGCAGATTGAATTGGAAGAAGCGCGTAAAGCTGGGCTTGCCCCTGCTGAGGTTGATGAGGATGGAAAGGAGATTAATCCTCATATTCCTCAGTATATGTCATCAGCACCTTGGTATCTTAATGCCGAGAAACCTGTAAGTTGCTTGGACCTTGCTTTTTTCGCTGTTAAGCTTTTATTTGTGGAAAGGCTAAATCGTTACTTTCATCATCTTTTTGTTGCTAAGTAGAGCTTGAAACATCAAAGGAAGTGGAAATCAGATCCTAATTATACAAAATCATGGTACGACAGAGGTGCAAAAGTTTTCCAGGCTGAAAAATATAGAAAAGGTGCATGCCAAAAGTAAGTGATCTCTCTCTGTCTGTGTTTGTGTGGGTGTGCGCTTGCATATCATGTGTCTGACATATGTGCTTGCATGTCATTCAAGTTCATATTTGTCTGAAGATGATAATTTATCCTCTTATGTGCCACAGCTGTGGAGCAATGACACATAGTGCAAAGTCATGTGTTGAAAGGCCCAGGAAAGTGGGTGCAAGGTGGACTAACATACATATAGCCCCAGATGAAAAAATAGAGACGATTGAGCTTGATTATGATGGCAAGCGAGACCGGTGGAATGGTTATGACCCATCAAGCTATGCACATGTTGTTGAAAGATATGAAGCTCGAGATGCAGCTCGAAGGAAGCATTTGAAGGAGCAACAGCTTAAGAAATTAGAGGAGAAAAATGGTAGCCAAGATGCTGAGGATGGGGTTAGCGATGTAGACAATGATGAGGATGATTTAAGGGTAGATGAAGCCAAGGTTGACGAGAGCAAACAAATGGACTTTGCAAAGGTTGAGAAGCGTGTGCGTACAACAGGTGGTGGGAGCACAGGAACCGTTAGGAATTTGCGTATTCGTGAGGACACAGCAAAATATCTTTTAAATCTTGATGTTAACTCTGCACACTATGACCCCAAAACCCGGTCTATGCGTGAGGATCCTCTTCCAGATGCGGATCCAAATGAAAAATTCTATGGGGTAAGTGTCCTTGAGAGTAGAAAATTTAAAAATAGTTCTGCAATTTCATCGATATGCCTTGAGCCTGTAACAATGTTTTCAATAAACATTTATTTTTACCATGTTACAGGGAGATAACCAGCATAGGGATAGTGGGCAAGCGTTGGAGTTCAAGCATCTCAACATCCATGCTTGGGAGGCATTTGACAAGGGACAAGATATTCACATGCAAGCAGCTCCATCGCAAGCTGAGTTGCTATATAAGAATCATAAGGTCATAAAAGAGAAGCTGAAGACCCGAACAAAGGACACTATTATGGAGAAGTATGGCAATGCTGCTAGTGAAGAGGAAATTCCAAGAGAACTTCTATTGGGGCAGAGTGAGAGACAAGTTGAATATGATCGTGCTGGGAGGATTATCAAGGGACAGGTAAGCATTGAAGCAACTCTTAGTTTTGTTGTTGTTGCAGATAATTGATTTATTGGTTTAGTATTTATGTTTCATAGAGAAGCTGTAATAAACCTTGGTTTCAATCATCAAATACTCATAGGGTTCACAAGAGCAAAGGAATTTTTTTGGTCCTTAGTTAATATGGGGCGATTTATCTGCAAGATTCTTTAAAAGAATTGTAGTTGGACCTGCCATTTCTGTTGCTTGAACTTCTATTTTGAGCCACAATACCTGTGTAGACACAACATGATGCAAAATGGGTAGGGGTACAAAATTCAGGTCAGAGCTGGCAATATAACTTGTGATGCATCAAAGAAGCCTCACTGTTGGTACTGATATCTGTTCGATTTTGGATGGTGGAGAGGGAGAGTTAGATAAAGCATTAAGAAAAGGACAGAAAAAGCTGGTGATTGTAAGAGAAAATAAAATGATAATCTGGTCAATGTGTGTTTCTTGAGACATGCAGCCGCATTTGTTTCTTCAGTTGATACTGTCCTCCAATAGATAAGTTGTCTTTTAGTATTACTAATATACTATTGAGGAACAAAAAGAGGCCTTCTTCAGCCTCTTTTGAAGTTCTACCCACCACTACAAATGCTTCTGGTGGGATTAGCAAGAGGTCTTTGCATGCCCAATTAAGTCCTGAAGGCCCAATTTTTAAAGAAAACAATACTAAGCCTTATACTATTTGACACTCATGCCTGCATGCCCTTTACCAAAGTCTAAATAAAGTAACTCCTAATCCTTTTTTCTATCTACAAAGATGGTGGAAGGCTATGGCAGAAAAAGAGCCATGCTATATTGAAGTTCTATTTTTTCCCCCCATGTGCATAAATAAGTGTTGCGATTGTATTTGCAGGAGACTGTACTTCCTAGAAGCAAGTATGAAGAAGATGTTTTCATTAATAACCACACAACTGTGTGGGGATCATGGTGGAAGGATCATCAATGGGGCTACAAGTGCTGCAAGCAGATGATTCGGAACAGTTATTGCACAGGTGCTGCTGGAATAAAGGCTGCTGAGGCTGCAACTGATCTTATGAAGGCAAATATTGATCGGAAAGAGGCCACTGAAGGTTTGACTTTGCTATTTTGAATTTTGGGTAGTGTGCAATCATATTTTCTAGTGTACAATTGTTGAATTAGATCCCATGAACATTGTAAGCCTGTATTCTGAAAAGTAGTGATCATTTGATTTCCAAAGGTTTTAGACAATAAATTTTTAGGTCTTCTTAAGCTAAAAGCAGTTGTGGCTAGATTTCTATTGATCTAATTCTGCATTACAAATCTGAAACAGAAGCACCTGCACCGGTGGAGGAGAAAAGGCTTGCTACTTGGGGAACTGAGGTTCCAGAAGGTTTGGTTTTGGATGACAAGTTACTCGCTGAAGCACTTAGAAAGGTGAATAAGAATCCAGCCCTTTTTACATCATTTGGAAAATTATTAGGTACTCCAGGTGTATTGTTCTCCCTCCCTCATGTAAAATTGGGACTCAATGTATAGCTACCTACTTTTATGCAAGTGGGGGAGCAATAACTGGGAGAACCTCTCTCTACTCGTTCCTGATTTTGTTTGCATGGTTCTTTGGTGAAGTGGGTGGGTGGTGTTGCTCCAAGTCACAACTATAGAATTTGTTCTGCTTTTTTTTTCAAAAGAGAGAGAGAGAGAGAGAGAGAGAGAGGGAGGGAGGGAGTTTAGTTCTATTGAGAACCTGAAAGTCAGGGATATGTTACAGCTTAACCTTTCCTTAGTGTAAATGTAAGGTTTCTAGCGTTGTGTTTTATAAGTGTCCGTTGAAGTTATGCCTTGCACTTTGCTCTTGACGTATGCTATAGTTGTTAATGCTTACTGCACATGTTTTGCTTGTACAGGAAGATCAAAGAAAGAAAGTGGAGAAAGATGAGAGAAAGCGGAAATACAATGTCAGATGGAACGATGAGGTAACATTTTTGCTTTGTCTATTGGATGGCCCTTTAATTTTGAATGTTGGACGCTGTTATAGGGTTTAACTTACCAATTTTTTAATGACTGCAGGTTACTGCTGAGGATATGGAGGCATATAGAATGAAGAAAGTACATGATGATGATCCAATGAAGGATTTTCTCCATTAACTGTGTATTAATGGAAGTAGAGGATATAGCCTCCTATGTTTACTTCCTTTGATCAGAATGGTATGCTTTGTAATATCCGTAGATAACACTGATTATATTTTGCAATATTCGTAAATAAACATCGATTATTAATATAAGATCAGATGGTTCTGCTGCCAGTTCATTTCAATTGTTAGATATGAATCGGATACCAGACTTGATATTTCGGCAAAGGCTAAATGACACAAAACTGTAATAGACTTTTGGTCAGACTTGGTTTAATTTCAAATCTTGTAAATTAAGTATCTTCACTATTTTTCGGTAATAAAGACATTTTTAAGTTTAAGCTCCAGACGCTTTGAATTTGTAGTCATATAATAATACTACACATATTTCTAAGCTCATATGTAATATTCCATTCCTTGAGCTTCTTAAGCCCCAATCCGCCTTTCTTGCTTTTATTTTTTTGGTAAAGTTATTCAAGGCTACTTTTGCACCATCAGCAAGGCCCTCCTTTCCTTTCCATAGAAAAGCATTGGAGCTGTATCCAGTCTATAGCATGGATTGACAGCAGCCAGATGAAAATTCTTCAAAGAGATAAGCTAGCAGGGCAGCATGTGCAAATTAGTTCGCACTATATTATCTAGGAACACTTGCCCTGCTTATAGTTACTTACGTTGCTCTTAAAGTCAAATGCTATATATGTGTGTGTCTGTGCGCACGCACACAGTTCAAGAATGCATACCTATTTATGACATTAAATTTTCCATGTCCTTTTATAGTAATTAAACATTCAGTTCAGAATATGCTAACAGTGTTAAACAACAATCTGGAAAACTTTATCTACATGTTACCAAGAAAC